CATTAAGGTAAAACTCCTAATACTGTAATTTTAGAAGATATTAGCAAAGCTTTTCAAAAGTTATTTTGGGTGCCTCAATTTTGGGCATATACAGCACTTATTTCTACGGATGAAAGATTCTGTATTTACTGTATAATACTATTTATAACTTTATTCTTTATTTCAAATAATTGCTTTGATCATCAGAATTTAAAAAAAAAAGTCACCAGAACTGACTTGGATCCTGTCCCTAGGACTGGGCCCTTAAAATGCCAAAGATGCCAGTTCAGATAGAACCGGCCTGATCAGACAGAGAAACCTCTGTATTATGCAGCTTTCAAAAGTGATTTTATGACACACTAACATCAATTTTGCCTTCAGCCACTGGATCATTTTTTACCTAAATAAACTGATCCAAGACATCCATAACATTTCTCCTGGATCTTATTACCTGGAAGTAATATTGCAAATTGCTCAAAGGCTATGTAAACCCTTTATAACATCGAGATTAAAAAGCATTAATTTTTCATGCATACATTTGTAAGCTGCTGATGAACAACAGCACTGATCCGCCACCGTGTTGGTTCAGGACTGACACATTGTTGGTTCAGGACTGACATCCATATGAAAGGACACTATAGACATTGTACATAATTCAGCACCTGAACACACCTACAGCACAGAAGCTCTAGCATACTCCAGAACTCATCTTCTCTCTTGACTACAATCACCAGAAGTATTGGCACCATTATAAGCTTGAAGGAATGTAGTGAAGGACTGTCTCCACAATAGAATCAGGCCTGGTAAAGCCACAGTTGCCACTACAACATAAACCATCATCCATCTTCCTCCAGTGGAGCTACAGCAGCAGAATAATGGAGTTGCCTAATGTGAAGGGGATGGTGAAAGAAATAATATACTGTAACTGAATAATTAAGAATTAATTATTTAAAATTCTTATTTGAATCAAAGAATGAACCATTTAAGATGTAACCTACTTTATCTCTTTCTATACCAACAAGAAGAAACAAATAATTTATGTCAACTGTAAGGGAACGCCCTATTATGAAAGGCATCTGATGCTATGTTCTTATTCTAGTAAATATGTAAGATGTCTTCAGATTCTTGGATGTTTTTTTTTTAATAAAAGCCCGCTCTGACACATCTATAGGGCTGCTTTGGTTTCCTCATACACAATCTGGAATGAGATACATATTGGCATAAGTTTGATGTTCAATGCTTATTATGCCTACCAGAAAACCGTAAGTCAAGTGTTGCAATACTTCATAATTAAAGAAATTCAGTAAACCTCCTGCCAATATGTAGGTTCTGGGGAAAGAGGTAAAAGCCAGGTAAAGTGAGGAGGTGGGCTAATAAGCTAGACTTTCAATACAGGTGTCATTACTGCTCATTTCAGTCATTAAAAAGATGTTTGATGCAATATTTAAAGGTACTGAGGGCCTAATTCTACTACCCTTACTCACTTTGAACTAGATTCTGATGCCCTTACCTACACTAACATTTTCCTCCTCCTCCCCCTGCGGGCCATGAGTCAATTAATTAATTAACAGTCCCACTGATTTCAGTGGGACTACTTGCAGAGTGAGGCACTATGCAATATAAGAAAGGGTAACAGAATCAGGCCCAGAATAATTGTTCAAACAAGCATTAACAGACAGTTAGATTAAACTGCCCTCTGAAAAACAAAATTTATTTGCTCTGGTAACATGGCTGGAATGAGAAGTTCTCAACACTTCATGCCTTGCTCACCAAGAACAGTAATGAATGAATGGAACACACATAGGTCAAACACATTCATTAAAAATAGATACAGGCCAGACTAGATAAGAAGATTTACATTTACTTGGCTAGGTAGATTTTGTTTGTGAAACCTAAAATGAGAGCAGTTTAGAATCTGCATAAGACCTACATGGTCGCATATACACCTGACCCAGCAAAGTAAATTTTTGCTCTGACAGAGGGAGAGCAACACCACACTATTAACAAACACCACAACTAGGGATGTGAAATTTACCACAGATTACTTTGTAAATCACTCTGCCTGGAGTCTGAAAGGCACCTTAGCTCAATGCAGTTTGTCCTTTCCAAGAATAAGTCAGATCCTTCAACAACTGATTGTAATTACAGTGTCAAAGCCTAGGACCCATGCAACCCTCTGCTCCCCCTCCTGCCAGAGTAGTGCCTTACGGCAGCAGCATTTGACCCCAAGCAGCTGTCAGGACATCAGGGAAGAAGGACATTGGAGGGCAGAGGGCGGGCTACACGAGTGGTAGGGCACTGCCAGCAGCGGCGGCCTCCAGGGGGAAGCGAAGTTTACTACTCACACAGTGAAGTGATACACGAAGCACTTCCAGCCGGTGGGTCTCTCTAGGAAGTTATAGACCCTGCCTTGGATGTTGGTCCTGCTCAGCAGCGGTCTGCGGATGCTGTAGATGGAGACCCGAGGGTCCAAGTTGATGTGTGGCCGGGGGCAGTCCGTGTTCACCACCACCATCTCTCTCTTGTACTGCGGCTCGCCCCGATCCGGATCCGCCGGCTGGCTGGAGCCCTGCTGCATCTGCTCCTGGGCGGGGGGCATAGGGGCATAGTGGGCATTGGGGCTGTTTTCAGCCAGCTCCAGGGCGGAGGGCTTCTTGCTGGGAGTCATGCTCCCTTTCCGGGACCCAGGCAGCCGTCCCAAGCTCCAGCGTCTCTTCTCAGGCTTGGGGGAGGAGGTCATGGCCGGAGGGGCGTGGGGGGAAGGAGGAGGAGGAGTGTGCGCGATGAAGGAGGGAAAGGGGCAGCCACTGCAGGGGCGAGAGGGCAGGGATGCAGCCCCGGCGCTGCCCCGGGGAAGGAAGGCGGGAGGGACAGCCAGCCACCGCTGGGGAGTCTCTCTCACACCCTCCCTTCCCCGCTCCCGGAGCGCTCCTAGCCCGGCCCACCCCGGGGGACGGCCCCCGCCGGGAAAGGTACGAGGTCTCCGCCTCCCACCCAGGGGAGGCTCCGAGCCCGGGTGACCGCGGGAGCTGCCTCGCCCCCGGGCATTCCCCGGGCATTCCCCGGGCAGTTGGCACGAACTACTCGCTCGCTCGGGGGAGGGTGCCCGGCCCCCCGCTTGGAGCCGGAGTGTAAAGCAGAAAGCCCGCCATGGGCACTGCCCGCTCCAAGGGCCGGGACAGGTCAGGCAATGCCGCACCGCTCGCAGCATTGCCCGCCTGCCTGCCGGTGGCAGCGGAGATGGGGCCTGGGTGCTGCCTTGGGGTTGCACCAGGTGATGGGGACCTGATTGTCTGTGTGGGGCCGATGAGCCATACACCAACCCTGGTAAGGGAAAGGAAAGAGCCACTCTGTTGGCTAAAAGAACAGGAGTAGTGTGGCACCTTAGAGACTAACACATTTATTTGAGCATAAGCTTTCATGGGCTACAGCCCACTTCATTGGATGCATAGAATGAAACATATAGTAAGGAGATATATATACACATATAGAGAACATGAAAAGGTAAGATTTGCCCTACCAACTCTAAGAGGCTAATTAATTAAGATGAGCAAATATCAGCAGGAGGGGAAAAAAACTTTTGTAGTGATAATCAAGATGACCCATTTCAGGCAGTTTGACAAGAAGGTGTGAGGATACTTAACATGGGGAAATAGAGTCAATGTGTGTAATGGCTCAGCCATTCCCAGTCTTTATTCAAGCCTAAATTGATGGTATCTAGTTTGCATATTAATTCAAGTTCAGCAGTTTCTTGTTGAAGTCTGTTTTTGAAGCTTTTCTGTTGCAAGATTACCACCTTTAAGTCTGTTACTGAGTGACGAGAGAGGTTGAAGTGTTCTCCTACTGGTTATTGAATGTTATGATTCCTGATGTTAGATTTGTGTCCATTTATTCTTTTGCATAGAGACTGTCTGGTTTGGCCAATGTACATGGCAGAGGGGCATTGCTGGCACATGATGGCATATATCACATTGGTAGATGTGCAGGTGGACAAGCCCCTGATGGCGTGGCTGATGTGATTAGGTCCTATGATGATGTCACTTGAATAGATATGTGGACAGAGTTGGTTGGATTTAAAAAAACAAAAACAAAAGAGGACAGCATCATAGCTCACTGGCCAGCCACCAGGGGAGAAAGCAGCTGTATCCTTTCAAGCTTACAATAACTTTTTTCAAGGTGAATGTAAGAGCAGGTGAGGGACTATACCTCAGAAGGGGCTTTCTGAGGAATGGTCCCTTTGCAGAGCTGTGTTCATATGTTGGTGATGCTGGTGCAGGGCTGTGTCTACAGCCACAATGTCCTCTACTAGATCTCTAGGTGTAAATAATAATTTGTGTCTTAGACTTTGGTGCTAAACTGTTCTTTTTATTGTTATCTCACCTCCCCGCCCCACACACTCCATTTGTCCATTTCCTCCACTGGTTGGATCCTATCTGACATGCAGATCATGAGTAGGACTTATTAGAAATTCTCCCCCAGAAGGTTATTCCATTGGAAAATGCTGACTGGTCAAAATCAAAATGGTTTGTGGGGACAGGGTTCCGGCCCGTTTGCCCACTTGGCTCCCAACTTTTTGGCAGCCCAACCCGGCAGGCTGATGGAGAGCTGAGACTGTGGAAGCTCTGGGAACACCAGCCCCCAAGTTCCCAAGCTGTCAGCTCTTCCGCACGCCAGGCTCCCAAGAGATCCCAGGGGGTGCAGGGTCAGTGGCTGCAAGGCAGCCCACCATTCAGACTGTCCCAGAGACAGGCCCATTCACTTTCCCACAGTAATTAAAAAATTTTGATTTTCATTCTAAAGCAGAATCAAATCATATTTTGAAATATTGAAATCCTCTGTGAAATGGAATTATCTTTCTCCCCACAGCTCTAATTGTGAGGTTACTGGTGCAGGGACTCAAGTATCAGAGGGGTAGCCGTGTTAGTCTGAATCTGTAAAAAGCAACAGAGGGTCCTGTGGCACCTTTAAGACTAACAGAAGTATTGGGAGCATAACTTGCAT